TCACCTGGAGGGCCAGGAGGCGCGGGGCGCAGGGGGCTCCTGCTCGGAGGCGTCCCAGTGCTCTGGCTCGGGCAGGAGGGAGCGGCACTGCCCAAACGGGCAGCGCCAGGCGGCGGCAGTGAGGCTGCCGGCCAGCTCTGCGGCAGCTGCCAGGAGAGGCGCGTGCCAGCGCGTCCGGGGCGAGGTGCCGGCACTGGCCCTGCCTCAGTGTCGGCCGGGGGTGTCCAGGAGCCTGGTGCCCGCCGCTGAAGGCTTCTGGATCTCCTGGGCCGGCCAGAGGCTCTGGATCTCCTGGGGCCGGCCAGAGGCTTCTGGATCTCCGGGGCCGGCCAGAGGCTTCTGGATCTCCGGGGCCGGCCAGAGAATTCTGGATCTCCGGGGCCGGCCAGAGGCTTCTGGATCTCCTGGGGCCGGACAGAGGCTTCTGGATCTCCTGGGCCGGCCAGAGGCTCTGGATCTCCTGGGGTCGGACAGAGGCTTCTGGATCTCCTGGGGCCGGCCAGAGGCTTCTGGATCTCCGGGGCTGGCCAGAGAATTCTGGATCTCCGGGGCCGGCCAGAGGCTTCTGGATCTCCTGGGGCCGGGCGCCGGGCCGGCCTCAGGGCTCACAGGAAGCCCTGGGAGGAGATGCCGCCTGCTGGAGCAGTGTCGGGCTGCAGGCTGCCAGGCAGCATGGCACCTGGCCGGGCAGGCTTGCGGCCAGCGGCGGGGGGGGACAGCTCCTGTCTTCGTGTCCCTGCTGGGCTGCTCCTCTTGGGGCCTCTTTTCTGCTGCTGTGGCTTGTCCAGGGGTAGCTGTGTTGAGGGGCGCAGCAGCTGTGGCCGGGGGCCTGGGACCTGGAGGGAGCAGGTGGTCAGGGAAGGGCCGGGGCTGTGGGCACAGGGGAGCGGGCGGGAGGTGGGGTGGGGGAGACCTGGGGGGACGCCCGGGGTGCTCAGAGGTGGGGGGATGCTCACCTGTGGTCGCTCTCCTGGCTCCTGGGCGCTGGCCACTCCCAGGCTGGGCTGGCACGGGGCCCTGGGGACCTCCGCGGCTTGGTGAGTCATCCCGAGAGAGCCGCCTTCTCCGAGATGAGCTGTGAGTCACCGCTGTGGGGACAGAGCGCCCGTGAGCGGCGTGGTGCCGCCTCCCCTGCCCCGCCCCCTCGCCCCCGGGCGCTCCCACCACCCTGCCACCCAGCTCCTGCATGTCCCCCGCGAGGGGCTCACCTGGAGGGCCAGGAGGCGCGGGGCGCAGGGGGCTCCTGCTCGGAGGCGTCCCAGTGCTCTGGCTCGGGCAGGAGGGAGCGGCACTGCCCAA